TGGACTTCCATATGATCGGATAAAAGCTAAAACATTCATTTAACCTTAAATATTGTAATATTATGAAGTTATAATGGGGATCAAATATTCTGTCAATGATAGAATAACAACAGGCCAACTTTCGTAATGCTGATATTTGTCCTGTTAATTATAAACGATTGATTACTAATTCCCCGACTGTCATTTCTTCTACAGGCCATTTACCCGACATCACATAGGTAGAGATCTGATCCGATGAATATCCGAATATATAATTTTACACCAAATAATTCATTGAATATTCGACCAATTATGTCATGCTCAATCTTATATACTGAATCTATGGGAATGACTGTATATTTCTACGATATCATCCAAATTATGCCTTTAGGAACTGCCAAGCAAGTTAGTACGCTGAATGAACTTTTAGAGCGGGTAGACTTCGTCACTCTGCATGTCCCTGAAACTGAAGAAACAAAAAATATGATAGGTGACGCTGAAATTAGCAAGATGAAGAAAGGCAGTTATCTGATAAATGCTTCTCGCGGCTCTGTCGTTCAGATTCCAGCTTTAATAAAAGGTTTACAAAGTGCTCACTTACAAGGTGCAGCAATTGACGTTTATCCACGTGAACCTAGGTCCAATGGCCAATACTTTAGTGACGAGTTAAATTCTTGGACAACTGAACTTTTAAAGTGTAAAAATTTGATAATGTCGCCGCATATCGGTGAGTATACTTATAAATTCTTAAAATAAGTTGATAAATCGTTTTTTTACTATATTTTAATTAATCATTCCTCTTTATTACAATTTATTATAGGCGGTTCTACCGAAGAAGCACAACGAATGATCGGAGTTGAAGTGGCAACCGCGCTTTTTAAATACATAAATTACGGTACTTCGATTGGTGCCGTTAATTTCCCCGAAATTGACCTCCGTGCTATTCAGGATACAGAAAAAAATTCAATTCGTGTTCTTTTTGCTCATCAAAATGTTCCTGGTGTGCTCAAAGTATGTCTGGTTACTTTAATAAAACATTTGTTTGATGTGCTATCTATATATTAATATTAAGTCATATATTATAGGAAATCAATCAAATTCTTTCCGACCACAATGTCGAAAAACAATACTCGGATTCACGAGGAGAAATCGCTTATATGATGGCCGATATTTCCGATGTTGACGAGCATGATATCTTCAAGAGAGAGACCGTCAAAATAAGAAAACGATAGTGAAAAATCGAAACGAAATTAAAGAAATTTAC